TACGGCTTCTAACTTTCTCAATGAATTCCTCGCAACCTGGCCTCCTTGATCAGACCTGCCACATATAGGCCTTCAGAGGTCATGACCAGTGCCTTGAATGGCACCTGGAAGCATACTGGTCACCAGGGCACCCATAGAGCAGGGCTGTCACGTGGGCATCCTGAGGCATGCCCCTCACTGCCTGCATCACAGCATCCTGGACCAGTTGAAGCTTCTGAGTGGTCTTCAGTGGCAGCCCCCTATAGAGTGTGGCAGTAGTCGAACCATGAGGTGACTAGGCTATGAGTGACTATCTGAAGGCCTGCCTGATCCAGGAATGGCTGCAATGGTGCACCGGATAAAGTTGTCAAAGGCCCCTTCGAGCAGGAGCTGTGAGTCCAGGAGCATCCCCAGATTGCTCCCCAACCTTGAATGGGGGATTGTGACCCCATCCAAGGTTAAAGAAGGAATATCGACAGATCTAGATGGCCCCAACAGCCACAGGCACTCAGCCTTGCTAGAATCAAGTCAGAGAGGCTTTCTCCCCATAGAAACCCACTCAGCCTCCAGGCGGTGGGATAGCACTTGGACAGCCTCGCTTGGCCAGCCTGGGGTCAAAAGATCTAATCGGGGGTCATCAGCATACTGATGATATTGAGACGCGAAATGGCAGATGACTTCGCCCAGCAGTCTCACGTAGATGTCGAACAAAAGGGGAGCAGAGTCAGGCCCGCTGGTCCCCGCAAAAGAGGGGCTGACGGATAAAGTGGGTTCTTCAGGCCAGTTGGAAATGTTATTGTCCGCATCTATGTTCTTTGCTTCGTTGGGATCTCTGTAGCATTTCCATATCAAGCAGGAGGGAGCATAAATTTATCTCATCAAAAGTGGCAGACACCGTGCGCCTGAGTGGCAGAAGGGAATACCGAGAGCAAAAAGGAAGAAAAAGTGTGATCTGAAGAAAGGGAATTGCTGTCAGGTCTGCGATGTTCAAATCCCAATGAAGAAAAATCTCTTGAAACTCGTATCAAGTTCAAAAAGAAATTCATTTATTGAGATGTACATACAGCTTCAAAGCATTGCTGAAACTAAAAGCCCATGCGTTCCCAATCTACTTTTACCCTCTCGTCTACCCCCCTTCTCCTCAGCCAGTTCTGGTTTCTCAGGTTGGTACGACCTTGTACATTTCTGGCCCCAGATAACAGCCCATCTGTGTTAACGGTTTCACCTTCCTTGCTCCCGCTCCCCCCTACTAGAAAATGGCAGAAACAAAGCACGCAACTAATGACCTGATAGACTGATTGCTGGAGGTTCTGACATGCTGCCCCTCCAAAAAAGAAAACCTTCAAAGCTCGTTCTCAAAGACCTGCAATGAAACAAAGACAATAGAACAGGAATCTATACATGCAGACATTATCATTGTACAAGAACATCTTACTTTGGCTTATCAGGATATTTTTTATAAAACTCTTTAATCAATGTTGGGGCTTTCATGTGTTTCCTAGCTACCCATTCAGAAAAAGACTTTGGGAAAGGTTTCCACTGGACTAGAAGTTGTATTTCGCCTTTATGTTTCTGACATCTAGTATTTCTTTTATTTCAAAAGGTTGCTCGCCTTCAGTCATTACAGGTTCCGGGACTGGTGGAGCCACGTGCCACCGTGTTGGCTCTTTATAGGGCTTTAGCAAGTTACAGTGAAACACGGGGTTAATCCTCTTTAATGATTTAGGCATTTTGAGAGGAACAGTCACTGGGTTAATTACTGTTTCAGTTTCAAATGGCCCTAGGTATTTAGGTCCCAGCTTTTTTGATGGCTGTAACGATTTCAAGTTTTTGGTTGAAAGAAATACTTTGTTGCCGCCTTTCCATTTCTTTGAAGGCCCCCTCTTCCGGTCTGCCTATTTTTTGTAGCTTTCTCTTGCTTTCTCCAGCGCCTTTTCTATAATTGGCCACAGTTCTTTCATCTGTTTAACCCATTTGTCTGCT